GGTAAACGGGTAAAAAAACCATCTTTCTTGAAAAATGGAGGAAAAACCCCTTCGTTATTTGTTAAATGGGATCTACATATTGATTCTTTTTTTTTTTTCTATTATTTTTGATGAACCTTATGCATCAAAAGGTGCATGAACGATTTCTAAAGGATAAAATTTGATCCTAATCAATCGACTCTATCGAGAAAGATTACTTTTTTTAGGTTAAGATATTAATAGTGAGATCTCGTTAGGAAAGTTATAAATGATTTGACTTAACTTTTCAATGACTGGTTTTTTAGTGTAATAATTATTCTTTCATCTACAATGGTTCTATTTAGACATTATAGCATAGAGTGTGTCTAGTATGCCAAATCAGGTTTTTTTTTTCTCAACACCATAATTATTGATTATTTGAATAAGATTTGAAACTTTTTTCAAATCTCATTCCACCTTACATAAGGATTTACAATTAATACTATTTAAAAACATACGAAATATTTTTTGTAATTTACATAGAGTGATAAATTATCTCTTAATTACTTAAATACCTTTATATAGTTCATATTATATTAAATATCTGCCCATTTATTACTATTGATTAAAACAACGTGTAATGAGATCAAAACATAACACTATTTATATAAGATAACTTAGTGATCTCAAATTTAAGTATTATTTACATGACTGTCACATAAGCTTTTTCATAAATATAAATTATCTCTCCATATGTAATTCTCATACGGGTTACTTCATTGTATATATCATCCAATAAGTACCTACATATTAATTCTAGGTATTCCTTGTACTCTCAGCTTATAAAAATAACTATTTCATTTCATAAAAAAAAAGAATATAATATATATTAGTTTCAATAGCTCTAATTAATATCTAGTTTTAGTAGAGCAATAACTATGAATATTTAGAAATAATACGTTGATGCAACAAAATTCTTATAATTATAATAACTTTTTAATTTTTTGTGTAAATTATTTTTATCCCAAAAGTTTTATCTTTTCTTTAGATTTATTAATAAAATATTTAATGAATATGAAAGAAAATAAGTTTTTATTAATAAGTTAAATATATTTACATGAACAAAGTTAGTATTACATGTAATCAATTTATTCACCATATGATATGTATATACACACTAATATGTTGAGATCTATTTACGGACAAATTACACTATGGACATTTACATATTTAGTAATACTTGACAATAACTTTCTTTCATGTTTTGGCTTTGACATGAAATTCTACAAGTGCTCTGTACTTTTCTTTTAATTAATGTTTTGTTTTCATGTTTTTATTATTCTAAAAGTATATTTAAATGGTTTTACTAAATAGTTTCCCCAGCATCAAATTCCAAGAAGCCAATCTGAAACACTTTCTCTAATACCTCACCTTGAAGGCCATCCTTTCTGCACTTCTACAAAACTTAGAATCATGCCCTTTGGGAGTTACACGAGGGGCTACAAAAGTTGCAAATCTGATTTCTTTCCCTCAAGCAATTGAGGGACGAACAAAAAGTTACAAGGAAAGACATAGTTAGATAAGCAGAAATTCCAATAACAAAACCAAGATTTTTAAAACTTTAGTAAGTTATTAACTACTTCACACCGACCTTTCGAAATGAAATTTCCTTGTAATATATCGAACTTCCACTGGTCAAATAATCAAAGATGAAGAACTGAATTACAAGTGAATCTATTATTATCACTAATGAACACACGGGTTTATCTTCTCAATTGGGATTGAACAAGTTTGTGTTCAACGCAACTAATTTCAGGAAAAGAAACCTGTAATAAATTGAAAGAAAACAACTACAGAAAATTGAGAAAACAAATTAGACTTCCACTTGCACCTCCATATCTCCTTCACCACCAAAATACTCCTTCACGGCATCCCTCATATCTTCAAAACAATCACACCTCTCAAAAAAAGCAACCAAATTCTCCAACTCTGAATCTCCAAGATCATCAGTAAACGGCTTCACTGGAATAGCATTTTTGGGCTGATATATATAGCAATTGGGATTATCATCAACAATCACCACCCTCCTCAGGTCCCTCCCCATTTCTGACAAGTCTTTGACAAACTTGCCATCAATTTCCTTGCAAGAGTCCCGATAAAGCCGGTGTGAAATCAGCCCCTTTGTATCAATCCTGTCAAGAACCAGCGACGCATATTCCTTTAACCCGGCGGTGAACACCACCACCTCGTATTTAGCTCCTAGAGCCTCCAAGAAAGCATCAACTCCCGGACGCTTCAACACATAAAAATTCATTGTCTCTCCATCAATCTTTGGCGTCACAACAAAATCAAACTTTTGGGGTGGCGGGCCAGCTTTAGAATGGACTAAGGTCTCATCCAGATCAAGAAAAACAGTCCTCTTACCAGGAGAAATCAAGGGTGGTAACGGTTCATTAAACAAATGCACCCTACAAATGCTATCGCTTTCAATTTTTTGGTCATGATATTTGGACCCATTTTTCAAGATATTGTAGCCTTTGTAGCGGCTATTTGGGGTGCTAACGCGGGCCAATTTGGAGAAAAGCTTGGAGAGGCGGCGCTTGCAAGTGAAGATAGTTTTATTGATGGTTGAGATAATGACAGCGGAGGTGGTTCTCCCGGGGGATTTCTTCCTGTGGCGGCGGCGGCGACGGTGGCTCCCCGGATCCTTTATAGATTTTGTGGGGCTTCTTTTGAGGGACTTGGACACCATTTTTAGTTTTTTTAAAAAAGAGAGATGTACGTAGAATCTAGAGAGATAGAATCTAGAGAGATAGAGAGCAATGTTCTGCCTATTTTGGGAGAGAAAAGAGGGTGGATTGGACGGATTTTAAATTCCGGTTCGGTGTAACGGTAATGTAGTGTGGCTCGGAGCCGAAGCTAATAACAACAGCTAAATGGTTAGGTTGATGTGGTTTTTAGGGAAGGAGATATGTTTAAATTTGGTGTTAATTAATAATTTAATGTTGGATTTAGGTTAAAATTGGAAGAGAAAGGGCAAAGAACCGTTGGTAGCACCTAGCGACGAATCGCAGAAAGAGGATTGTCCCTGTCCCACGGTTGGCCTTTGTTATTGTTTGTCACTAAAACATTTACTTTCTTTCTTTTTTTATGGAAAAGTGTAAATTTTTTAGACAATTTCCCTTGGATTTAGTGCACTCTTTCTACACCAGAAAACTTAGTGTTTGGTGTCTAATATTTGTTGTTATTATTATTATTTGAATTACTAGATATTAATCTTATATATTTGACTTTTTTTTAATTTAAGTGTTTTTTTTTTTGTTATTTTAACATGTTAAGTTATGGTGACACCTAATAAAAACATAGTGTTTAATA